TTGGCTTTCCACCTGTTTGACTATTTGTATCAGTCGGAGATCTTCCGCTGTTTGGAAACTTAACAATGAGCCACCGATTTCCCCATTGCGTTTAACAACATATATATTCACATGGGATATCCTCGTCGCCAGTGTAATGTTTGTAAGGTAACAGTAAGGAATAAACGAGACACGGTGTTGTTCAGTTGACTACTAAATGGGAAGTAACTTTATTACTTAAAAGTACAGATATTGATTACATAGGAAGTGTGGGTAGTTCATTGACATGTGACGTATCACAGATGGTATTCAAGGATAACGATGTATACGTATTTGTTTATAAAGCAAGATACTTAACTACATTACACTATGTATCTTAAAAAATTTGATAACTAACGGGACTGTGCCATGCATGGCTTGTTCAGACATGCCTTGTCTAATTTCAGTGGGTCAATGATGTCCTTTTGTTTTGCATTTGTTTTTTAGAAGTGTTTTCCTCATTCTCAGAGGCATTTTTAAAGATTTTGCTCAAATTTGCCTACACTTGTGTTGAATGTTTTGAAATTTAGTTCACTAGCAGCCATTTTAAAATTTATTTCATTTTATTTCATTAACACTTGGTATGAACGTCATACATGATGTGATATGATTTCAAATGTCTAACTGGTTATGTACACAGTTTTGAATTATATGAGAACGATCTTATTTAAAGAAGATGTCACTTTGACTGAACAAAATCTGGAATAAAGGTGCCATATTTGAAGTAACATCATATTTTTAATATGCGGAATACTCCCCTTACATTTAATTTGAACTGGGACTATGTCATCCACAATGACTTATTTACCCTATTCATTGTTATCTATATATGTCTACTTTGTCTGTATTTTATTTACCAGCCTGGTTTGAAGGATGTGGTGATGAAATGCCGTGGTCAGAATCTCTTCTTCTCTACTGATGTAGATGATGCCATACAAGCTGCTGATCTCATTTTTATTTCAGTCAATACACCTACTAAAACATTTGGACTTGGCAAAGTAAGTGAATACGATAGCAGATAGTGTCTGTCTTTCTATGCTATTTTCTATCTACATGTATA